CTTTTGCTCAAGGCTAGCACTCTACCACTTGAGCCACAGCACCACTGCCAGCTTTTTCTGTGTCTGTGGCACTGTGGAACCCAGGGCTTCTTGGGTGCTAGGCAAGCACTCTACCACTGAGCCACCTTCCCAGCCCATCATTTCTTTTTAAGGCTGAATAATACCCAGAACTAGAGCTCCAGGCCTTTGGAAGGTGTGTGACTCAGCACCCAATTCTAGCAGCTTCCCTTCTCCCCAGTGGCCTGCACTCTTAACATTTTTCCTCCATCCTCTGATCATTCACAAAACCAGCCCAAGGCATGCCAACCAATATTTCATAGCCCTGGTGTAGGACGCTGTTCACATTTCGGTTACAAACGTGCATCTACTTTCTCCATCAGAAATATGGCTTTTCCACATGGCTGCTAAATATCATCGAAAAAGCATTTTCCTTCTCCCTGGGTCTCAGGGGGAAACTATATCATTAAAATGGAGACGTGATGAGAAAATGAGAAATCTTTCCCGTATGGCTAGCTCCCCAAGCTGTTTCCCAGGGGCTCCCAGAGACCGCAGAAGCTCAGGAGCTGTAAATCACCAACGAGGCCTGGCGAAGTGGTCACCTAGAAGCCTCACCAAGTGACCTGGCCTAGTTCTTTTTTTTTTGTCAGTTGTGGGGCTTGAACTCTGGGCCTGGGCGCTGTCCCTCAGCTCTTCAGCTCAAGGTAACCTTGAAGAACATTCGAGACTCTGATCTCCGATTAATCACCAAAAGAAAGCCAGCCTAGGAAGGATATCCATAAGACTCTCTCTTCCAATTAACCAGCAAAATGCTGGAAGTGGAGCTGTGGCTCAAGTGGTAGAGTGCCAGCCTTGAATGACAAAGCTAAAGCACAGTGCCTAGGCCCGGAGTTCAAGCCTTACTGCTACCCGCACACACACACACACACACACACACACACACACACACACACACACATCCCTAATCTTCCATTCTCATTCACCATTGGATGGGCATCACAAAGTATACTTATACAAACCAGAATGCCCGTGACATCATTTGATGATAGAATCGTATGGAACTGCCAACCTGTAGACAGTCTATTGTCAGCTGGAACATCTGTGGCCATCTGCTGTGCTTAAAAGAACTTCAGACCAGATGCTGGTGGCTCACACCTGTCAGCCTAGCTGCTCAGGAGGCTGAAATCTGAGCTTCATGATTTTTTTTAAATTTTTATTTTATTTTATTTGTGAACATACTATACAGAGGGGTTACAATTGCATGGGCAGGATAATGCGTACATTTCTTACCAAGCATTGCAGCCTCCTCCTTTGTTTACCCTTCACATCACTTCCCAGCCTCCCCCCCCCCCCGCCAGCTTCATGATTAAAGGTCGGCCCAGGCAGAAAAATCCATGAGACTTTTTATCTCCAATAGAAGAAGTGCTGTGGCTCAAAGTGGTAGAGCATTAGCTTTGGGTGAAAAAGCTCAGGGACTGAGCTCAAAGAAAAATCTGTGAGACTCTTATTTCCAATTAGTTATCAAAAGAAAAAGAGCCAGACATAGATCTGTGACTCAAGAGGTAGAGTGCTATCCTTGAGCAAAAGAGCTCAGGGACAGCGCCCAGGCCCTGAGTTCAAGTCCTAAGACAGGCACAAAAACAAAAAAGCAAACCCTTCTGAGCCTTGCTCTAACGTAGAAGGTATGTAGGAAGGTATGAGTGCTAGGGGGCGCTATTGGACAACTTTTCCATGCACAAAAAACTGTTCCTGGTCCTTAAGGATTTTGAGAGGAAATCTGTCCCCATTCTCAGTCAGTTCTGAGTACCCCAACCTCACTCCCTTAGAGACCCCCCTCTCTCTCGGTGGCATTAACTCAGTCAGTAGGCCCCCTGGCCATCTTCCTTCCTTCATCTTTATTCAACAACTGTTAGAACGCAGAGACTTTTAAAATTTATTTTGGTAAGAAAACCCAGAAGGCAACTTTGCATTCAGTTCTGATATCTGCTGTTATTGTGGCAGTGACTGAGATCCCGGCGCTATTGTTATTTATTCTGGGTGCAAACATACAGCTGTGTTTACATTATTTATGGATCTTCTGGAGAATTCATGCAGAAGCAGGATAGCTTGGGGAAAACGAGGCGTGGGAAAAAGCAGCCAGGAACTTACAAATAAGCATTGAATCCGTGGACAGCATGGCTAAAAGCACAGAAGTATGAATTTCTTGAAGGCTTAAGCACAAGAAAAGGAAAAAACGTTTCTCTCTCCCTGTGACCTTGCTGGCTTGCCTTACTAATTAAGTATAATTCGCACGTTCTGGAAACTAAGCAAGAACACTTTTTTTTCCCCTGGTCCTGGAGGCTTGAACTCAGGGCCTGGGCACTGTCCTGGAGCTCCTTTTGCTCAAGGCTAGCGCTTTACCGCTTGAGCCACAGCACCACTTCTGGCTTTTTGGTGATTAATTGGAGATGAGCGTTGTACGGACTTTCTTGTGCAGGCTGGCATCAAACTGCAATCCTCAGATCTCAGCCTCCTGAGTAGTTAGGATGACAGGCATGAGCCATTTTACTATTAAAGCCCCTGGTATCAAAATAGTGACCTCCCCTTATTCCCTCCACCTGGGGAGGGGTGGGGGAGGGAACAGGTACTTGACAGCCTGGGAAGGCCCAAGGCAGGGGGCTGTCATTCTGCCAAACTGCCAGTAGATGGCGAGCCAACCCCACTCTCCGACCTGCGCCAGATTCACCTGCAGTAAGGTTCCCTTCTGTCCACATCCCCTCCAGCATCTGTAGTTTAGTTCTTGATTCTAGCCATTCTAACTGGGGTGAGGTGCACTCTCAATGTTGTTTTGATTTGCATTTCTTTTACGTCTACGGAACGTGAGCATTTCTTCATGTGTCTATTGGCCATTCTTCTCTGGAAGAGCCAGACGCAGGCATGGGGGTGTCTACCACAGCCAGGGGCCCCAACAGCCTGAGGGGAAGCGGGGAAGAGTGCGGGCCTGTGGGTCAGACCCCTCAGATGGCCACCACTGGACCAAGCATGTAGACTCTGCAGCATCATTCCCATTGGGCCGATGGAAAATGGAAAATACCACACACGCTGGAGTGGCAGGTGTAGAGAAACTGGGCTGCTGGGGCCCGGGGTAGGGGTGGGGCTGGAGGGGCAGGGCCAGCTGCCCCTGGCCCAAGGGGTAGAAAGACCCCCTTTGGGAACATCTGGCACAGAGTAGCCATCCACCATGGCCAGGGAGTGGTCCTCCATCAGCAAAGTCGGCTCCTGGCCACATCCTCTTCCAAGGCTTCTCATCCGGGTACCTGGTGGTCGAGATTCCCATCTCCAGGTCCAGAGGCCAGGGTGGGAAGGGGGTGTCAGATCTCACACGGGCCTGCGATGGGTCCACATGGGAAGGCCCCTGAGATCTGGTCTGCCCAGCTCTGCTTCTGCATCCCGAGTCAAAGCCCAAGTCGGTCAGTGAAGACTGCAATCCATCCTGACTCTGCAATCTATCCTGACTCCAGAGCCACTTCCCCAAATAATCCAGCCCCCCAATCCCTGAACACGCTCCTCACTGGGCCTGATCGCACACCCCTTCTGTCTTCTTTCAAATAGATTATTATTTTGCGTGGAGATTTTGCTTTTCTTTGTCATTATTATCTAGATATGTGTGTATGTATCTGTGTTTATAATGTGTGAAGTATTACCTACAACATATCTATATATTATATATCTTATGAGATATATTTATATATCTTTTTAAAATTCCATCCTGGGGCTTGAACTCAGGGCCTGGGCGCTCGCTATTCCTGAACCTCTCTGTGCTCAAAGCAAGCACTCTATCACCCAGAGCCACAGCTCCACTTCTGGTTTTTTGGT